GGAACAAGAGAATGCTCTGAAAAAACTTCAACACGAGCTTACGAATGATCCTGTTATGGCTTACTTCGACCCTTCGAAACCAACCACCGTCATTGTTGATGCCAGCCCCTCGGGTTTAGGAGCGCTGCTTACTCAAGAAGGCAGAGTTATCAGTTATGCAAGTCGTGCACTTTCCAGTGTAGAATCCCGCTATTCACAAACTGAACGCGAGATGTTAGCCGTTATATGGGCTATCGAACACTATCATCTTTACCTCTATGGCGCTAAGTTTATTGTCATCACCGACCACAAGCCGCTACTCGGAATCTTCAAAAGTCAGAAACCGACTTCAGCGAGAATTGACCGCTGGAAACTAAGACTGATGCCGTATGATTGCGAAGTTGTTTACAAACCAGGGAAAGATGCAGAAAACCCTGCCGACTTTCTCAACTGTCACCCCAACCCTGTTGTTTCTTCTCCCACCGACAACACCACCGAAGCCTATATCAACTATTTGTGCATCAACCTCATCCTCAAAGCTATGAAACTCGACGAAGTGAAGAAAGAAACTGCTAACGACCCAGTCCTTTGCAAGCTTTCTAAAGCAATCACATACAACCGATGGCTCGATCCTGAAGTGAAACCGTTCGTTAACGTAAAGGACGAACTGTCTGTCTGCAATGGATTAATCGTCAGAAACCACCGCCTGGTGCTACCTCATTCACTGCAGAGCCAAGCCATAGATCTTGCACACGTAGGCCACCAAGGCATAGTCAAAACGAAAATGCTACTTCGTGAAAAGGTCTGGTTCCCCTCCATAGATAAGATGGTGGAACAGAAAGTCAAGAGTCAAGACGTGCCTGCCGTGCCAAGCAGCAACCACAGGTACCCATCGACATCCAGAACCCTTGATCATGACACCGCTGCCCGACGCACCATGGCAAGAGGTTGCTGTCGACTTTGTTGGTCCGTTCCCATCAGGCGAGCTGCTACTCGTTGTCATCGACGAATTTAGCCGATTCCCCGAAGTAGAAATTGTCACCACTACGAGCGCAAAAGCTGTCATCCCAAAGCTGAATAACATATTTTCCCGCCAAGGTGTCCCTGTTGTTCTTATAAGTGATAATGGTCCGCCATTTAACAGCTCGGGATTTGAACAATTTGCCAGTTACCTTGGTTTCGAACATCGCAAAGTTACTCCGTATTGGCCAAAGGCGAATGGAGAAGTGGAACGGTTTATGCGCACCATTGAAAAAGCCATACGTACAGCACACATCGAAAAGAAGAACTGGAAACAAGCCTTATATCAATTTCTCCGCCAGTACAGAGCCACACCGCACAGCACGACGAATGTGTCACCATCCGAGGCCCTGAACAATCGAAAGTTGAAGATACCACTTCCGAGTATTCCAAAAACTCAGCAACAAGAAACCCAAGATCCAATGCGAAAACGAGATCAAGAAAAGAAAGAAAAGATGAAGAAATACTCAGATCATCGACAACACTCGAGAACAACTGATCTGAAGATAGGAGACACAGTCCTGATCCGCCAACCAAAGAAGAACAAGCTTACCCCACCATTTAACCCCAAACCATTCACTGTTGAAGCTCGGAAAGGAACTATGGTTACCGTCAAACGTGGTTCGAAGAGGATAACACGCAACATATCTTTCTTCAAAAAGATTGATAATCGTGTAACGGATAGTTCAGATGACGAAGATGATGATGACGATTTTTATTGCGACAGAACCAACGAAGACCAACTCAATCAAGAACCTGTTCATTTACGAAGATCCCAGCGAGAAAGAAGACAACCAAATAGACTTGGATTTTGGACATTGAACTATCAATGACTATTAGACACATATTGCATGTTAACAGTTGAAATGTGTTTCAGTTTAAATTCCTGTTGTCGTTTCGGGCAGAGGAGACATTTTGAATAACATATAACGTGAAGAACAGAGAACCTATACTAATGTGGGGAGGATGTAATATAGCTAATTAATAACTAATCCAAATGGGAATAACTAATCAGTATTCCATATATAGTTCACAAACACTATAACACGCGTTTATCTCGTTTTATTGAGTCTTAAACACTACAGGAGAGAGGAGGAACGAAGGTGAAAATAATTTGAGGAGCGTTGATTGTAGATTTTAAGCTCGCTTTCACTCACTGTAGTTAAGGGCGAGGGACTTTATTCTGTTTGCACGCACGAGATCTCGCCGAGTTTTCCCTTTGTGGCCCTACGTGTTACTGAGGTTGGCCTAGTTTTTTCCTTGCGTTTGAAAACTCGTATAAAAAGGGTATTTTCCTCGTCCATAACCAAACCCTTAGGCCTTAGTTGTCAAGTGTGTGTCGTATCAGCTGTGTGTTCTTTCTCTCTGAAAGACCCAGCAGATAACTACAGGCCAATCTCGTTGTTGCCTATCGTTAGCAAGATCCTGGAACGCTGCGTTTACTCAAGATTTTATTATCATGTTGCTCACCTCATCAGTCCATCCCAACACGGCTTTCTCAGAAATAAAGAAATAGATCCTGCGTCACCCAACTCCTGTCTGTTCTCCAGGTCATCGGACAAGATCTAGACAGAAACACTCAGACTGATGTATTGTACCTCGACTTTGCCAAGGCATTCGACTCTGTAGATAAACACGATCCTCCTAGCTAAGCTTCGTTGTTACGGTGTGACTGGCTCAGCTCTTGATTGGTTTGCTAACTGGTAGGACACAGAGAGTCGTTGTGAATGGTGTGACTTCGAAATGGTCTTCTGTCACCTCTGGTGTGCCTCAGGGAAGCATTCTAGGCAGGGTCTTAGCTAGGATTTTAGATCTTGGGCGTGTTTCTAAATGACCAGGGTGTGCACATGTCAATTACCTCAAATAGCCAAATTCGCGGTTCTACAGTAGTTATGCTCGCCAACAACAGACAATACCTGTGGTTGTTCTATGCTTTGCAAGTTATTTCAGCAACTCTTGGGGGCATTTAAAATCATTTTAACACCATACAGTTCCCATTATCCATCAAAACATTAAAACATAGATTTTACAAACGTAGATTTTACAAACTTTCTTGCGACGTACAGTAAATATGAAGAAATTCTGTGTGTTATTTTATGAACCTAAACACGGCCTTATAAAAATAATGAAACCGCGCTCATTTTATCTAGCCGTGTTTTTCCCTTTTTGGCCGCGATAACACGGCCAACACGGCCCTCTAGCTAAGACCCTGATTCTAGGACCCCTGTTGTTTGTAGTATTCATCAACGATCTACCCGACATCGTAGAAGCCCGAACCGGTACAGCTCTGTATGCAGATGACACCAAACTGCACAAAATCATTACCTGTAATCGTGATTGTTCGTCTTTACAACACTCCCTATCCAATCTTAATAATTAGTTAATCTCTGGACTATGGAAAACAACGTCCGCTTCAACGTCTCTAAGTGCAAAGTTCTCACCATCACCAGAAAGAAAAATCCTATCATTCATAACTACACTCTTGGGAGCCAAAACCTAACTCGAGCAGATATAAAAGCGAAAAAGATCTTGGAATTACCACCACATCAAAACGTTCTTGGGACATTCACGCGAACACCATCGTCGCGAAGGCCAATGTTCGGCGTACTTAGAAGAACTTGCACCAAATTGATGGACATGAAAGCCAGACGAACTTTATATTTATCGTTGGTCAAGTCCCAGCTGTGTTACGCTACAGAGGTATGGTCGCCGGTTAACAGCGTCCAGATTTCAAGACGTGTTGAAAAAGTGCAAAGAAGAGCGACAAGGTGGATAACAATGACAAAGCGAGGCGAACTGTCGTACAGAGAACGGTTATTAGCATTAGATCTGCTACCGTTAACCTATGATCGAGAAGTCAGAGACTTGGTGTATTTCTTCAAATCATTGTTTAGTTACATTGACGTCAACATCGATAACTATGTGTTGTTTGTGAGTCATGGTCGTACTAGGCTGAGCCATACGTCAAGATATATCCTTCAAAGTAAACTCTGTAGAACTAACACTCTCCAGTCTTCATACTACGATCGTGTTGTAAAGATTTGGAACACAGTGTGCCAAGAAGTCTCACCTGACATTTTCCGTAATCCAAACTCGTTTAAACACTATCTTAAACGTAGTTACTCTACATTAATTAGTAATGTTTATGACGTAGACATGTGTACGTGATCATTAACTCGTGACTGTCCTTGCCATAGGACTTAATACCACAAGTAATATATATGTGTGTGACGTATATTTAATTAACTATATCTAAACTAATTACGGGGAGCACCTCGCATGGGACTTTTATAGTGTCCCGTTTGTGCTTTTCCGTCTGAGTGTATCTACTAATTTGTGATTTGTGACGTGTGTTTTGTCTTTCGTTTGTCAGTATGTATCTTTGTACCTGATATAGTACATATGTAGATTGCTCAATAAAATTCGTTTAATTCGTTAAATAAACGTCTAATCTATATTAGAGAATGAAATACAATCACGGAAATAATTACAATTTACTGAGACGACTCAACTGAGTATTTTTTAATGCATCTTTTTTTACTTGGGAGTTTAATCTTTTTTTTATCCCAGTTCACTATTCTGTGTTGAATGATTACGAGGGGTCAGTTGCGCGAAGGTAACGAGCCCTACAGACTGTAACCATTTCTTTGTGACTTAGGGACATTCTGCTGTCTGTCAACATGCTTTGATAAACTGTATCCATTCCCAATGCAAGATGACATTCCAACGCTCTCATCAGGGTGAACACTTGAAAAGTGAATGTGAATATAGGAATGTGAAGTGTGATTTTTGTGGGAAAGATGTCACCTTTGCGTCGATGAAGGTAAGTAAAAATAAAGTAACTTTTGAGAACAGTTTGAACAATCCAGCAAGTCACGTCGTCTTACCTTATAATTATCCTTGAACCATGCAGTATGGTATACTCAGTTTTACTCACTGTTCATCTAGGAACATATTGGTAAGATCTGTGAAGATGCACCCGTGGCTTGCAAATACTGTAAGAAAGATGTCTTGAGAAAAGACATTGAAAGACACGAGAGACGCGATTGCAACGAGGCTCCGGCGACTTGTGAGTATCAAGCTGTAGGATGCAACCACGATAAGGTAATAGTTACTTGCTGTATTCGTTGACACACGCAGGTTTTCTACCGATAATTCTGTTTCAGTTCTTCCTAGCTCTTGTAACTTGCACCAATATAGGATGTCCCTTCGCCTTATTAGAGCTATCCAGTATAAGCTTTTTCTACGCGTACTATCAGATGATAGCAATGGACAGTAAGGGCAATCTCGTTCCCAGAGGGAGAGGAAACAGTCGTTAGGAGAGGGGGCAACTGCAGGGGTTAAAGCATGGATTGCAAGGTTGATGTATTGCATGTTATATGTACCTGGTAATAAGGAGTAATAAGCTAGTAAATATATCCTTGCCTTTAATTAGTTGCTGATTAAGGCCGCGTTTACACTATGACGCTACAGCAAATTTACCGTAGCGTAGTGATTTGCATCCGGAGTGCCAACGTAGCGGTCTGTAGTTAATACGCTACGGCAAACCACTCCGTTGTAGTGTAAACACAATACTAAGAAACGTAGTGAATTTTTAACGGAATTGATTTCTGTAGTTAGTACGCTACGGCAAACCACTCCGTTATAGTGTAAACACAATATAATTCCGTAGTTAGTACGCTACGGCAAACCGCTCCGTTATAGTGTAAACACAATATAGTCTTAATACTAGAAACGTAGTAAATTTTTAACGGAGTGTTAGCCGTAGCGTCATAAGGTAAACGCGGCCTAAATGTTCAAAGATACACAGTGTGAAGCATGAGAAACAAATGCGAAACACCCACTGCAACAAACTTTCAACAAATATGGCCTTGTTCACTTCATTTCTTACTTTCGACACAAGTAATTATAATTACAAACACAATGTAGTAAGCTATAATGACAATGTTTTTAAATATTGTTCTCTGCTATATTAAAAGACAATATCAATGTTGAATAACATAGTGGGCTACTGGGCTTATATTCAGGGGACTTATGTTCAGGGGCGCTTGTATTTGGAATGAGGTGAGCGTACATGTGGTAGCCTTATACACAGGGGGTTTATATTCAGGGGGGACTTATATTCAGAGGTTTACGGTATACAGTAGACACACATTTCTGGGTGCATATAGAACATCTTATACGTTGGGTTCTCAAGTCGATCCAATGGTAATTTGATATCGCTGCCATCACCGTAGTATAGTATAGTATAGTATAGTATAGTATAGTATAGCATAGCACAGAATGACCTTGTATCATGCATGCAGAAATGCCTTGGTCATTCAGTTTTATATAGCCACTTGATCTTGCATCAGTCATTGCATTTAGTCGAGATATGAGTATATACTAATAGAATTAGTTACGCCACGTAACATGTCGTACACGTGAGGTAGCAGCTGAAATATTTTAATATTTGCCATAATAAGCCCATAACCTGTTGGCAAAACGACCAAATCACCAAAACATGTTCACCATTTTGCAATGGCCGAGATACAATGTCTCATCTTTTAACGAAAATTCAAGCCCTCTCGCTAGAGCAGCTTTAATAGCTCTTTCAATATTTGCCATTGAATATAGTTTAATAGTAGTGTGATTAAAAGCACCTTTAAACGTATAAAAAACTATTTTGTATGCTATATTCTGATGAGAATCTGTTCAAACAAATATATCGATTGTGAGCGTGTGCCCGCGCGAATTTAGTAAGCGGAATAAAAAGAGTAATAAAAGCGCATGCGCCATTTATCTCATTTTGGATAAAATAAATTCAATTTCCCCAGAGTCATGCCACTGCATAACCCGCGAACAGTCATACTCTGGGAACGAGATTGCAGTAAGGGATGAGTAGTACAAAAAATAAGATTTATCTCATTTAAACCGCACTAATTGCCTCAGGACTCTACTTCATTATTCTACTTGGATGGCCCTTACTGGGCCTTTAGCCAGTCTGGGGTGTAAGTAGTATAAATCTATTTTAAGTTTCTAGGAACAAACCAATCCATTCTTACTTGTGATTTCGTTGTTTTGTAAAAGGTTATAAAGTGCATTACAAAATTTTGAATTTTTAACTTTACAACTTTGATAATAATCTCTCAGAAAACATGGAAAATTATCTTCTGAGGCTTCGAAATGCATTTTTTTGGGAGGCATGCCCCCAGTCCCCTTCTCTTAAATGAGCGCACCAATAACAATTTGCTTACGACGTTACTGCTTACTGGAACTAAAAGAGGAACAGTTCAAGTTTTAATAAGGTTGGCAGTTATAAGTTAATGAAATAGTTTGTGATTTGTTCATGTATCTGTAGTTATGATTATGTTTCAATAAAATATACTTCGAAATAATACTGTACACACGTAAAAACACGCAAGTTCTTGCAGGTTTGCAAACAAGTTGCTGGAAATTTGTTCACAAGTTATCCGCAACAAGTTGTTTTCGCACTCCTTGTTCCCAGTTGTTGTAAAAATTGGAACAAGCTGTTAACAACTTGTAACAAGCTAGCTTGATGGCATCATCAGACTTGTTGCAAGGTTGTTCTAACAAATCGAATACATGCAGTCATGATATAAGAAGAATGTTACATGGTTGTCAACATTGTTATATCATGACTGTATCGAACCTGTTGGAACAACCGTGCAACGAACAAATCCAACAACATGAACAATGTTGTTACAAGTTGTTAGCAAGTTGTTCCATACTTGTTGATAACTTGGGACAACCAGTAGGGAGCACAACATGCTGACAGCCTGTTGTCAGACTTGCTACAAGATGTGAGCTTTTTACGTGTGTAGATAAGCAAATGCTCAACTGCTGGATTACAAATGCTCAACTGCCCAAGAGTCGTCTATAAATTATTATTGCCATGCATTCATCTTTGATACAATTTGTAGACTTTGAAGCAAAAGGAACTGCGCCAACATTTGAATGATGCTTTGGTAAATCATGGTGGACAACTACTGCGGTATACTCTTGCCGTTGCTTCTCAACTAAGCGACTTCATCCCACGTCCAGAATATACAGGGATGTTGCAGAAAATCCAAGACGACATCACTGAGGTTCGCTCTGGCTTGGCCGAGAAATTCGTCATGGTTGTCGGAAAGTTAACTGGCTTGGAAAGACGGATTGAAAGCTTGGAATCCAGTGGTGGTGGTGATACAAGGATTAGAAATAAAGAGCATGAGCTACAAAGTAAAATTAGAGACCTTACTACTGAATGCAGCAACTTACGTCAACGGAATATGAGTTTCGAACGAGAAATGAGAGATAGGATGGATCAAATGGATGCGTCAATTGCTCTGAATACAGCCACAATTACCGATTTGGAGTCCCAAAGATATCCGCGTGCACTACAAGCTATCCCGAACATAAGTTCTTTGTAGGATTGCATGGCGATAAAACATATAATATTTTTTGTTTGTGGAAACACCACGTAAATTTATTACTGCAAAGCTTTCGATTCGTAAGCCCGGATCTTCATCAGTGCTAATAATATGTGACTTGTTCAGTTCACACGCCCCTGTTTCAAGCCTGGCTCACACTAGCAATTTTGTCGGCGATTTTTCTCTTCCTGGCAAATGTGATCGAATAAATGACATGCAAAAGATTGTTTACTTTTGAAAAGTGGCTCTATACTTTTTGTGTGCGAGTTCACTCATTTACATCCGTCTGAAACAGAAAATCGCCGACAAAATTACTAGTGTCAACCAGGCCATACATTAAGTATGGACAGATCTGTAACTTCAGTAAAAATGTTGCCCCATGGCCATGGTTGCCATCTTCCTAGCAAGTGTCGCTCGCGTCATAGAATAGGAAGGTATATAACAGAAGTCTCACTCAAGCAAGTATTTGTCCGCGTTTTTACAAGCGATTCGTCATCAATCACGCCATCCTGGCTAGTACAACCGGCACTTTGCACCTACCAAAACCTTATAAAAACTTCCGGCTGTACTAGCCAGGATGGCGTGAGCGAGTTAAAATTTTCGTGGACGTAAACACTGACTCAAGTTACACTTCTGCTATACTTTCCTATTTTGTGCTCGCGTGATGAAATAATTCGTCATTTGGTAATACGTCATTGCTTTCAAAAATGCTTTCAACACCGTTTCTACAACTTTAATTGCTTTCAACAACTTTAAACATTCAACAAATGATGCTGTTGATCGTTTAATCCATAAATTTTGATCCAAAAAAGCCGCAATAAAATGCAAAAGTTCGTGTTTTTCAGGCGCCATTTTGCTAGCAAGTGTCATGGCGTGAGCATGTGTACATGCATCTAGGGAAATTCGAGGACACGAAGTCCTATTAAGTTACACATCTGGTATATACTTAATCTGTGACCAGGCTTTATATACCAAAAGTGTCGTGATCTGATGGCTGGCGTCATTTGAAGTTAATAGACAGATTTAGATCGAGGACGCCAACGTCAAAGACGACGTGAAAATGGCGTCAAAATAGCGTGGCATATATCCATACATGAGCACATCGAAAGCTTTGCAGTAATAAATGTGCGTGGTGTTTCCACAAACAAAAGGTATTATATGCTATCCACAGTTATCATGGCACTTTAAGATGCCATGAATGGGGCGAAGACGGCCTTGTACAGTCCTTGTCCATCAAAAAAAAAAAAAAAAAAAAAAAAAAAAAAAACAAAAAAAAAAAAAACAAAAAAAAACAATGCTTACTCGCAGTTGAATGCTGAAGATGTTGACGCTATTTATATACAAGTTCTAGTTCACTTATGTTATTGACTTTGCTATTATAAATGTGGGGTTTTAGGTTATTGTTTCATGGTTAGCATTTGATATTTACCTTTATTCATAGCTTGAAAACGATTATTAAAAAATTTGTTATGTTTATTTCCCTGCGCTTTTTCAGGGACAAACAAATCCTTGATACCACAAGTTCAGTTAGAGTGTGGTTCTCTCAATGAGTTCTCTAGCTCGACAACTGGTCAGCCCGCCTCTGTAGCTGGTCCGCAGGTTCGAGGGTTCCTGTCAGAGGGCAGATAGTTGCATTTTCGCAACTGCTCCTGGTTAGCTAGGTTATCTACAAATCCCGTAGTCAATAGAATAAGAAGGTTAAGGAACTTGATAGGGACATAGTAGACCTCATTATCTATGTTTCTGTCTTGGTTTATGCAAAAAATGGTCGGTTCATCGACACGTCTGCATTGTATTTTCGCGCAACCAAACAATAGCAGTATGTTGCTTTAATTATCCAGTCGTGACATTACACCAATGGTCAAATGAAAACATAGCTATTGGTTTCTCTCGCGAAAATACAATACACACGTGACGATGAACCGATGTCTGCATCGAGTTCCCCATAAACCTTATTTTATTGACTATGCTTCAATAGTATGAAAGGCCCTATGATTGGGTGAAACCAATTTGGCGGCCAATAAGGTTCAGGCCCTGGCCCTAACTGCTCCCGGTCAGCTAGGTTATCTACAAATCCCGTAGTCAATAGAATAAGAAGGTTAAGGAACTTGTAGGCACATAGTAGACCTCATCTATGTTTTTGTCTTGGTAAACAAAAAAAAATGGTCGGTTTATCGACACGTACGTCTGCATTGTATTTTCGCCCAACCAACCAATAGCGGTATGTTGCTTTAATTATCCAGTTGTGATATTACACCAATTGTCAAATGAAATCACATTCTCGTACCTAGATCCCTTTTTACGAGCGGTGCGACGAAGGCCTCTGGCCAAATCCATAACCGGATACCATAAAAACATGGTAAGAAAACAATGTCCGGTGTTAGAACTAGCCAATCAGATGCCAATTCGGAATATGGATTTGGCCAGAGCCCCTCGTCGCACCGCGCGTAAGAAGGGCTCTGGGTACGAGAATGATGAAATCATAGTTATATTGGTTGCTGTCGAGAAAATACAATACACACGTGACGATGAACCGATGTCTGCAGCATCGAGTTTCCCATAAACCTTATTTTATTGACTATGCTTCAATATAGTATAAAAGGCCCTATGCTTGGGTGAAACTAATTTGGCGGCCAATAGGGTCTGTCAGGCCCTCATGAATTTAGGAATTATTCCAATTGTTCATTTCCCCCTGATCGCAGGTTAATTTTGCCTGAAGGCCAGCACAGGTTTTTTATATGACTCCAGAGGGCAGAGTTATATTCAGTTCACTGGAGTGAACACGCGTGTATATCGTGTTGGCCTTCGCGGGCGTTGAAAGTTTTTTGGGTTGATGTTTTAAGGCCCAAACACATCGGACGCGATTCGACAACGCAGCGCGATTTTTCGATTTTCACTGACCGATAACTTCGACCCTGTTAAGTTTTTCAAATATTTAGAAGCGCTATAGCATTTTGAGTTATTTGGTCTACGTATCTTTTAAAATTTCCTTTCATTGGCTGTCAGTTTATTAACTTTAAAAAGTTGGTGAATCGCGTCTGGTGTCTTGGCCTTTATATAGTCAATTTTTGCAAGTAAATGCTCATTTTTAGTGGTATATCCTAGCTAAAACCTGAAAACTAAATGAAAAGCTAATATTGATGCAACTACAGTCCATACTACAATGTGTTCAAGGCTGTGTTAAGTTGAAATTCTTCATATGTCCAGAAAAACAAACGTTTGTGGGGATTCTCTGCGGGGGGGTTTCTGAACTTGTTTTTCACTCGTTAAACGTTAGATAACAGATATAACTTTGCTTTTCATGATGAAGTGTCAAGTTTGTGCAAAATTTTCTTATTCGAATTCTGAAAAGACCACTAGTACTTGCTCTACTTTCTTAGGATCATGCCGATAGTTATAAAGTCCGGACTTGAAATAGTCGGCTGAAAATCATAAAATTTTTACATAAATTTCGATATTTCGTACTGAATTCACAAAGCTTGTTGGCATGCCCTAGCTCCTACCCCAGAGATTCACTGAATTCACAGACCTGAATTCAGTGAATCTCCGGCTTAAAAAACAAAAGCCAATCATCCCAATTTTTAATGTATGCCAGAAATTAGCTGAGGGAGGTGGAGATTTTCCTTAAAATGATGAAAATAATTACAGTAACGTAGCTAGAAGGGGGGGGGGGGCTGTCAAAATTATTGCCTCCCCCCTGAGAAAATTCAAAGTTAGACTGCATGGTTAAAACACCAACCGAGGGCTTTTTTCTCGGTTAAAAGACACTCGCTAAATTTATTTGCTCAAATTTTTCTGTGTTTGGAAATTTCAAATCTCGCGTTTTGGTTGGCTCCATTTGTAATCTCTTGATCGAAGGCGTAGTGTTCCGCGACGATTAACGTTCATTTTCAGCAACTAAGTAAATTAACCTACCATTATTCGGGGCATTCCTTTTTGATTATCAGAAATTGACAGAATAACAACAAGCACGTTGGTCATGCAGGATTTTACTTTACGGGAAAACCACGTCACAAGGTAAATTTACTAAATAGGTTAGTGTGTCGCTGAGTGGAATGAATGGAAAAGAAGACAGTCACATGACTGTTCTGACTGCCCCGATGTTCGAGTACACACGTAAAACAAGCTGCTCCATTTACTGTTCGGAGTACAGCGGATTTTCGGAACACTAATGGATTGGAACACAAGACAGTCACATGACTGTTCTGAACTGTTCTGACTAACCCGGATTTTCGAGTAGGGGCAGCCAGAACAGACAGTTGGCATAAAGGCGGTTTCCAGTCCTCGCACGAAGCTCCTCGCAGCTCGTCCCTCATCACCCATGGATGATTTTCACGAGGGGTACATTCTAAAAACTAATGTAAATTAAATATGAAATAGAATAACACAGAATAACAAATACGTAGATAAAATAGTTAAAAAACCAAGACTATTCGATGCCTGACTCTGTTTCACACATTATTTTATCAAATTTTTGAAGCTACTTAAATATTCTCTGTTTGCTTTGCCTGCGTAGGTAAACTATTCCATAGAACAGCCCCGCTATATCCAAAACTCTTTTTTAAATATTCAATACGTGGTTTAGGAACTGAAAGATTTATATCAGCATTTCTGAGATTATAATTAGTACTAAGATTTATGCCCCTTGTTATAAATTTATCCTTTAAGTTCGGAGCTGAGTTGTTATTTAATATTTTAAACATCAGGAACGATTTATTCATTTTATGTCTGTTGTTCAGATTTTTCCATGACATAGCATGGAGCAAATCTGTCGACCTGACATCATAATTGGCACCTGTCATAATTCTTGCCGCCCTATTTTGTAGTTTTTGTAATTTCTCTTTGAGCATGCTTCCACAATCATCCCATAAAGATGAACAATAGTCAAAATATGGGAGAACGAGAGAATTATATAAATTTTGTAGTGTTTCGGACGGTGCAAACGGCTTTACTCTTTTGATGATTCCAATACCGGGCCAACTTTCCTACATATTGTGTCTATATGGTTTTCCCAGCTCATTCTTTCATCTAGTTCTACTCCCAAACATGGAAAAGAGGAATAATGCATGAGTAAAATATGCTCATGCATATTTCATCCAATCACAATGCTTAGGAGTTAATTTTAATTAGATGCAAGCACTCGCAGCGAGCTGCGAGGAGCTTCGTGTGAGGACTGGTATTACGCCATTAAGCCTGGGTTGGCCTACGCCACTGACAGACACGTGACACTGCCTATTTTCACGTGATTGGAAATGGACGACACAATTTGCCTTTTCGTAAACGGTCATTGCCACCAGTAACTGGGTCGCTGTCATCATTTCACATGAAACTCGATATTTCACGCCTCGCATAATTGCCGCCACGCGGAGCCTGATCGCAGGTTACGCGTGTTCCAGAATTGTCGCGCGTGTGCAATATACGCGTGTTGTCTTGTCTAAAATGGCGCATGACATGCTCACTATGTGAAAGATTTCGATGATCTCTTTGGCTCAGCTATTAAGGAAATCAACTGCCGTTCTTTTTGGAAAGATTTGTCATTACAACAGAAAGAAGAAATTCAAATAAAAGCATTGGAGAATTTACCCGATGATTATCACGCGTGACCAATTGCCCCCGCGTGGCGGCAATTACGCGAGGCGTGAAATATCGAGTTTCATGTGAAATGATGACAGCGACCCTTACTGGTGGCAATGACCGTTTACGAAACGGCAAATTGCGGAGGGGACATATTTTCTGTATCCAATGCTATTGCACACTGCATAGAGTGGTTTTTTTAAGGGTTAACCGCTATATATCGACATATACTTATTATATGCTATTTGAACGCCAGGGTTGGGCAAAATCAACGAGTAATGAATATAGTAATGCATTGTTGCACGCATATATAATAAACGGCTACACACGTACAAACCATAGATATCTTATACAGTATACACTAGGGAGCGCATCTCTTTTAGTAAATTAAATTGAAGCCAAGAGTATTCCAACGGTTACTCCATTTGAATAGATGGCGGCCATGTTGGAGTTTCCCACTCGCTAATAAACGCTTAAAAAACGACAACAACTTTCATCATTTGAATAGTTTGAAAATGTATTTGGAATAGGTTTAACTTAATGTTTAAGTTCCCTGTTTAAGAAATAGAAAGCATACGAGTCTTCTCATTTCATGGGAATATCCTGAGTCTGCAATCACGGCTTCAATTTTTGAATTGCAGAATAATAGATGCACTGTCTAGTGTATATAAGATACCTATGGTACAAACGCACAAGTTGTAACAAACCTGCAGCAGACTTGTAGCAATGCTGTTCCAACAACTTGTCAACAGATGTTTTCGCACTGCTTGTTCCCAGCTTGTTGACAAATTGTAAACGGCTTGTTGACAACTTGGTACCAGGTTGTTGAGTTCAACAGACTTGATACAAGTTGTTCCGACAACTCGTTATCAGCATACTTCGAAACCCGGACCGGACTCAGACCCGGACTCGGACTGGAAGAAAATCCGGACTCGAGAAAAACCCGGACCCGGACTCGAAAAAAATTCGGACTCGTGTTTAACAAAACCCGGACTTGACTTTTGAAAACCCGGACTCGAATTAGACAAACCGGATTCAAAACAAGGACTCTGTGTACGAGAATGCAAAGGTTTTATCGGTAATAACTCGCGGATAAATGGATTTGTGCTCTTGCGGGGGTGCCCCTCTCTCTTCTCGCTTTCTGTATTGATAGATAGAATACTTTATTTCAAAAGCAATAAACTTTGGTTTCGAAAGATGTAGATATTTTTTTCTTCTAGTGACTCAGTGTTATGCGTTATCTGAGGATACTAATCAGTTATCATACTATATGGTTCCTAACAAAATAATCACTATATAGCCTACCTAAACAAATCATTTAGGCACGTACGTCATTTAGGCATTTATACATACTTACCTACTTAATTTAAAAATTTATTTAACCACGCTGACCATACACAACATATTTGTAAAATGTGTAAAATACATACTCCTACGAGTAGCTAAATCTACCCTATAGACATAAATTAATAACTAATTTGATCTGTCTCAGCGCTAGCAATGTCTTGTCTGTAAACCACTCGTTACACGATTGCTGCCATCATAGCAGACTCAACGTGATCGATGGCGGCAAGGGTAAAATATATCCTCTCAACATATTCGACCTCACTATCGGCAAAATGACACGAAAAATAACTAGACTTCAACCAATCACAAGGTAACTCCAACCAATCAAAAAGAACGCCGGAAAAGCACATCTCATGTTGAAGGCATGCAATGAAGGTGTCGCGGCAACCGCGCCTAAATACCGACTGTGAAGAAATTCGGGCGTTGTGCGGATGGACATAAATTTGATATTATATCATGCTCTCAAATATTTGGGCAAGACGCTACTGGAAACACGTTTATTTTCTTAATTTCGTTAAGATAAAGTCCATAAACACGAATTGAACACCCGCAATTATTCTTTATCAAAAATAGTAGAAAACCCATCACAATGAAAGCAATAGCCGCACCCGCGGCCGACAGTGAAATTCACGTTGGATGGTTGGCGTAAATTTGATATTGAGACTTTCTCGTTAGGCAATGCGTTCATCAATTGCCCCATATGCCTTGCATACAACCGCGGCTCGATACTGACAATGAAGTTTGACAATAAATCAAGTTAACGTTATTTTGAGAATCAACAATCAACATGCTACCCTCGTAATAGCTACTTGTATAGATATATTTTCAAAAGTCAAGTCCGGGTTTTCTTAAACACGAGTCCGGATTTTTTTCGAGTCCGGGCCGGGTTTTTCCCGAGTCCGGATTTTCTTCGAGTCCGAATCCGGGTCCGAGTCCGGGTTTCGAAGTATGCCCTCGTTATCGTCCTGCAATTCAACAAGTTGTGAGTGACAAGCTTGTAGCAACTTGATAAAATAGAGTTTGACTAATGGTTGCGGGTCGCGTGTCTCGGGTAAAAAGTCGCGTGTCGCGGGTAGAATGTCGCGGGTCGCGGGTAAAATGTCGCGGGTAAAAAGTCGCGGGTCGTAAAAAAGCTCCAAACCGTGTATTTTATTGAGTCACGGGTTGAATAAAGTGTGTAAAAATCACATTATCATTTAGTAAACAACCATATAGGATTGCTTCAATACGAAATATTGCCCAAGAGCCTTTTGTCAGTGATTTAATGAGTTTGACTAATGGTCGCGTGTCGCGGGTAGAATGTCGCGGGTAAAATGTCGCGGATAAAAAGTCGCGGGTCGTAAAAAAGCTCCAAACCGTGTATTTTATTGAGTCACGGGTTGAATAAAGTGTGTAAAAATCACGTTATCATTTAGTAAACAACCATATAGGATTGCTTCAATACGAAATATTGCCCAAGAGCCTTTTGTCAGTGATTTAATGAGTTTGACTAATGGTCGCGTGTCGCGGGTAGAATGTCGCGGGTAAAATGTCGCGGATAAAAAGTCGCGGGTCGTAAAAAAGCTCCAAACCGTGTATTTTATTGAGTCACGGGTTGAATAAAGTGTGTAAAAATCACGTTATCATTTAGTAAACAACCATATAGGATTGCTTCAATACGAAATATTGCCCAAGAGCCTTTTGTCAGTGATTTAATGAGTTTGACTAATGGTCGCGTGTCGCGGGTAGAATGTCGCGGGTAAAATGTCGCGGATAAAAAGTCGCGGGTCGTAAAAAAGCTCCAAACCGTGTATTTTATTGAGTCACGGGTTGAATAAAGTGTGTAAAAATCACGTTATCATTTAGTAAACAACCATATAGGATTGCTTCAATACGAAATATTGCCCAAGAGCCTTTTGTCAGTGATTTAATGAGTTTGACTAATGGTCGCGTGTCGCGGGTAGAATGTCGCGGGTAAAATGTCGCGGATAAAAAGTCGCGGGTCGTAAAAAAGC